ATTTTCAAAAATTGTTTGCAGTTTAAAGTTTCAGCATAGCCATCCTTCTTTGCCTTGCATGGGGCGGGGGACGCTAGAATTAAGTTCCAGCTTTGGGTCTATCTTGAAAGTTCTGGGTTTAAGCTCATGGTACTGGATGACGTCTTGATTTGGAGGAAATGAAGTGGATATGTGTTTCAATGGGTGCACGTTTTTTTGAACTTCTGGAGCCGGGTCCGTACACGTGTTGTCTTCCTGTGTTCTCTCACCTGCAGCTGGGAAGAAAAGATGTTTTCTGTCGTGACCCGCCAACCGTGTGAGCAAGCAGGTTCGTGTCCCTCAGTAGGCAGCAAGCATGGTTTTGTCAAATCAGGAGTGCCCCAGCTTCAGCTCCATTTTCCCTTCAAGTCCCCTGCCACTGACTGTTTAACCTCATGGGTTTGAAACTCGGTTGCTCACCCAGGTTTTGCCCTTGGCGTTTCTCAGGTAAAGAAAAGTAATGCTTTTCATCAAAGCCGCACAAAACAAGGACTAACATGCATGTTTCGCTTAAATGGTTTTTCCGGTTTGTATAATCCATTAATTTGGCCTTTGTGGTTTCCCTGACCCAGCTGTGTGTAAATATTGTGCTTGAAAATATTGTTAATTTTGTGATGAATTGTAATGTACTCAAATCTTTCCGGTATTTCCATCCAAATGTTGTCGCTGGCACGGTGCCTACAATACCCTCCACCCCACCGTGGGTCAGTATTGGGGTTGATACTGCAGGCACAAGTACGGAATGTTTTCTCTCCCCAATGCACACTTCCAAGTTGCCTTGCCTGCCTCTGCAGCACTTTTATAGAACTGCTCATGTGGAAGCTCAGAAGGCTCTGGCCTCCCCATGGTCAGGTAGACACCTTGCAATTACAGTGTTTGTCCAACCCTAATGACAGCACAGCTCTAGGCTGCATTTCTTAAATGAGTGAGACCTAGCCTAGTCCATTTTGCGTTGTAACAAGCTTTTCTGCTGGGGCAAGGGTTTGCTTAAAGTAATCATAGCTTTTTACTTGAAAACTGCTGAAGCACAGAGGATTTAGGAGGCCAGCCCCGTGGCTGTGGTCAGGAGACTGCTTACATATCTCATCCCCCTCCCCCTTTGAAAGACATTCTTTAGTCATGTCTTCAACTGGGTATTCCTGTCTTCCAAGTGAATATGATTTTAGGAGATAAAGAGCCATTTATGTGTATTGTTTTTTTTTTTTTCTTTTTGTAAAGGGAAATTTGTACTTAAGAAGCTGGTTTATTTTGATTTCCAGGTTTTCCCCGAAACACTTTGAAATGTTAACGCACATACTTTAACATCCCACACACAGACTGATCTGTTACATGCCTTCCAAAGTACAAGTTTAACTTGGCAGATTAAATCTATACCATGTCTTGTTGGGGGGAAAAAAATCTCTTAAACCTCTATTACTGACACCAATGTGAAATTGTTGAAATCTGATGCAGATGTTCGTCTCTGGATTAACTGGTTACTGGCTGGGTCCTGTACTTTCTCTGGAACAACAGAGGAGTGATCTAGAACCCCTTCTGATGCTCTGAAGGTCAGCCCACAGAAGTTGGCTTCCCTCCAGTTGCTATTACAAATGATTCTGCAGTGAGAAGCTTTACGCAAAGTCATTTTATGCACGTGGAGCTAGTTATGTGGGATATATTCCCAGAAGTGAGATTTTGAGTCAGATGGTATGCTCATTTGCAATTTGGTCAATACTGACAAATTGCCCTCCCTCTGGTTTACACTCCCAATGGCAAGGTAGGAGACTTAAGATGCAGGAGTGACCACCTTTAACATCAGGAAATGTCTGTGACTGCCTCTATACTATAGGGGAAACAGGGCTATTCTGAGCCATTGAGACCTGCTGCATGACTGCCCTCCCCAAGTAGTGAGTGTTGTGATGAAATTGGATATTGGAGCTGTATCTAATTCTATTATGACGACACATACAGGGCCTTGTTTATTTCCACGAAAGATGTCTCCTAGAAACAAAGAAACAGTAAAGCGTAGGTTATGATGGTCCTAAGAGTAAATGATCTGGAATAAGGCAGGATTTACCCCTCTGCTGTTCAAGAAAACTTTCTTCAGTGATAGAACTGCTCTGGATCTTCTCTGGCCAATATGGGGGTCACAAGGTCACATGTGGTTATTGAATACTAGAGATGTGACTAGGGAGATTGATGAAATAAATATTTTATTTTAACTAATTTACATTTAAATAGACAATTGGTAATAGACATATTAGGATTCTCTGAATCCAGTGATCTTTCTGTTCTGCTAGTGTTTATTGTTTTTCAGCCATTTAATATTTATGCTTTAATAGTTCAATCAAGATTATTACTTAGACAATCATTTTAGTTGACTCTTTTACCTTTTTAAAAAAAAAATTGGTATATTTTATATGCAGTGAAATGGATAAATCCTAAATTTTACCTCTGAATTGGGTATTCTTGCCTTCTGAGAGTATGTTTTAGGAGAGGGAGGATGATTTATAAGAATCTTTTTTTAAAGGGAAATTGTACCTAAGAAGATGTTTTACTTTGATTTTTCAAGTTTCCCCAGAGGACTTTGAAAGGCTTGATGAGTTTTGACAAATGCACACACCAGTATTCCCCCACAGTTTTTTTAATATTGAAAGCATTTCCATCACCCTTGGAAAGTGCCCACATGCTACTTCTCAGTGAATGCCTTCAGGCAATCATTATTTTGAATCCTGTCACCCTCTTGCTCTTGAACTTCACATAAATGAAATCGTTTTTATTTACAAATTTCCATACAGTACTAACTTCTTTTACCTGAGAGTATTTTAAAATAAAATATCATCTCATCTGCTTTAATAGAAAATCCATGTGTTTTAAATCTGTTTTTAAAAATGTTACCTCAAAATAAAATCAAATATTAAAAATAATAATAATAATAAATGTTATCTCACATGTCTCAGGGGTGACCTAGTAACATGCATAATACATTTTGAGAAATACTAGAAAACTAGATTGTGCACACACTCCCTGCAAACACTGTTTTAGTCTGCAATTTGGAAGGGAAGAATAAATGGGTATTGAAGCCAAGTTACTATTCCATCTTAAAATCATGGGTCTCTATAAAGACAAAGAAAGTGACATGCACATATTGATGGGCCCAGTCTGTGGATTCTACAAAGACCTGGTTCCTACTTCTCACTCATGTTTCTTCTTCGTCTTCCCGTTGTAGGCCTCAAGGCTCTCTCCCGAACTCCAGTCATTATCACCTTGGTGGTCCTGCTTGTGAGCATTGTGGTGCTTGTGGCTATCACACTCATCCAGATCCGCCACCCAGAGATCCTCCCTCCAGGACTAAAGGTAAGAGCAAAAGAATTGGCATTGAAAGAAAGAAATGGGCTATGACATCAATCACCCTAAAACCATGAGTTGGGAAATACTTTTCCCAACTGTAACCAGAAGAAAATGGTGTTAAGGCCCATGGAGAAGGTCCAGACCTGCTGGGCTTGTGATAATTGAGGCTACAGATTGGGGGAGGGGGAGTGATACCTACTCCGAGGACTTTGTGGTCTTGCTATGATTGTAGGAACCAAAGATACAGTTTTTAGCCAAGACTGTTCAAAGGCTGTATTTTAAATAGAAATTTTTTAAAGAAACTAATTTTGCCCAGGGCGCCATGATCAGGTTTGATCTAACATTCTGAAGCTACACTTCAAAAGAATTAGACTAAAATCTCCTTAGGATCATGGCAGTTGGTTCTTTGATGGGATGTTTTACTTAAGATCTCATCCCTTATGAATAATATGAGTGAAAAAAAAAAAGAAGAAAAATAAACCTATTCAAGTGCCCAACCATGAGAGGAAACAGATTATCTTCTTGCTCCCAACACATTAGCTAAGGCCTTTAGAAGTTGTTTTCCCAAGCTCCAGGCTTTGCCTTCTCCTAGAAAATATATAAAATTGAGACTGCAACTAAGAGTAATATCTACTCTTTATACTTCATATCCTACTGCTCTGGTTTGGTGAGTATTTCCTCCTTCTTTATCTCATTTAGCCCTTGTTAAAACTATAGAAGTAGACAACAACACCCCTTCCCATTTTGCAAATGAGGAAACCTAGGTGTGGCTAGTGAATGGCAGGATTGGAACTGAAACCTGGACCCTTCTGTTCCCAAGGCCTCTTCACATATCTCCCACATTCCCCTGATCCTGAGTTCTGCATGAAGACTTCAGGAGGAGGGATGGACCTTTGATGGGAGGAGCATACATCCTCCTCTGAACAGGAGGGAGGGTGGAGAGGAAGGGTCCAAATGCAGGAAGGTTTAATGAATTCAGGGAGGGAAAGGAAGGCTAGGACTACTATGACACTCCAATAATTGGACCCCCTGCTGTGGGCCCTACTTTTCAAGAGAACCAGCTGTAGCTGCACTTTGGGTTCACCTCTTCTCCTGAGGGTAATCCAAGAGGTGACTAAGAGGCAGGTGTTGGCAGGGGATATAGACAGAGCAAAAACAGTGGGTTGGAACTGTCCACACACAGCTGCATAAGTTTCTTTACTTTTTGGATTTGCCACAGGTGGGAAGAGGACAGGTTTGAGGGAGAGGGGGCAGGGCAGACACCTCCATTTATAAAATGTTGACTCTGATCCTATAAATTTTAAGGATTGGTAGTTTAAAGGAGTTACCCAGCTGATGTCTTCTACTTGTTCTGGGATATAAGTCCTCTGTTCATCATTCAGGGATGTGGAAAAATTGAGAAGTAAATTGAGTAATGAAAAGTACAGTCAGTACCATATGAAGTTTTGGATAAAACAGACCATGCTGGTCCCATGAAATTCCCATAGATGAAAAATTCCTATCACTTAGTAACATTGTAACCATTGTAATGTCATAGCGCAGTACATTAGTCATGTTTGTGGTGATGCTGGGGTTGACAAACCCACTGCGCTGCCAGTCATATAAAAGCATAGCCTATATGATTTTGCACAGTGTGTGATATTAAGTAATGATAGTAAATGCCTATGTTACTGTTTATGAGTTTTCTGTACTATATTTTTTATTCTTAGAGTATACTCCTCTTATTATTAAAAAAAAAAAGTTAACTGTATAAAATAGCTTTAGTCAAGCCTTTCAAAGGGGATTACAGAAGGAGGTATTGTTACTGTAGGAGATGACAGCTTCATGTGTGTTGTTGTCCTGGAAGACCTTCCAGTGGGACAAGACATGGAGGTGGGGGACGTTGATATTGATGATCCTGACCGTGTGTAGGCCTAGGCTAATGTGTGTGTTTGTGTCTTGGTTTCTTTAACAAAAACACTTAAAAAGTAAAATAGGAGAACAAAAGAAGGGGAAAAAAGCTTGTAGAATGAGGGTAGAAGAGACTATTTTTATTCAGCTGTACAATGTGTTGGTGCTTTAAAATATTATTTAAGAAGACTAAAAATGCTTTAAAATTTTTAAAGTTCATAAAGTAAAAAATTTTACAGTCATCTTAGATTAATTTATTATTGAAAACTTTAAAGAAACTTTAAAGAAAACTTTTTTGTAAGTTGAATGTAGTGTCCAATGTTAATGAAGCCTAAAGTCGTGATAAAGTCCTAAGCCTTTGGCATTCACTCCCTACTCTCTGACTTACCCAAAGCAAGCTCCATTTGTGGTAAGTGCTCTATACAGGTGAACTATTTTTTATCTCTGATCCCATATTTTTCCTGTATCTTTCCCTTTTTTTTTTTTCAGTTATAGTTGGACACAATGCCTTTATTTTATTTATTTATTTTTATGTGGTGCTGAGGATCGAACTCAGTGCCTCCAATGTGCTAGGCAAGCACACTACCGCTAATCCACAACCCCAGCCCATTTTCTGTATCTTTTCTATGCTTAGGATGTGCAAATGCTTACTGTTGTGTTGCAAGGGCTTGTGGTATTCAGTATGGTGACCTGCTATACAGGCTTGAAGCCTAGAATCAATAGGCTACACCACATAGCCTAGGTGTGTAGTAGGCTCTCCATCTAGGTCTGCTAAGTACACTGCATGATCTCCCCATTGTGATGAAATTGCCAAACAATGCACTTCTCAGGGAAATCCCTGTCATTAAGCAGCACGTGACTATAAATTCCAGGCATTGTTGAGGGCTCCATTAGAGGAGAGGGCCACACGCGATTCATGCTACTCTCCAAGGTTGGGTTCCCCTAGTCAAGATGCAAGTGCAAAAAGATCATCTGGGGATGATCCCAGGACACATGGGGAAGGGAACAGAGAAGTGAGGCAGATGTATGGCAGTCTATAGGGCCCAGTGATCCAGTAGGTCAGCACTGTGGTCAACTGAGGCTCAGTCCTAGCAGTATCTCAGGGAGCCTATGCACCATTCACCTCAGAGTTGTCCCATATGTTGGGACGTCAAGGCAAACACCTCACTCCTGGTTGTCCGAAACAGGGACTAATTATACACCAACTTCATCAATCATTGGATGACAAGCTGCTCCTAGGGACGTTGCTCTGGTATTTCTGTCATACTATGTGCTCAGGTAGGCTCAGGCCACTAGAGAAAGTCTTCCGGGCAGGTGCATGATAGATGATTATGCACCCCAGCAAGATCTGAGGAGATGTGGGCAGGAAACCGTCAATAACAGGTCCATGTAAATAATAAGATTATTATTCCCAGCTTTCAAATGAGAAAACAGAGAAAGAGAAAGGACAAAGGCTGAAAAATAGCAGAGCCGATATAGAAGAAGAGAACAGAAACAGTGGCCTTAAGCAAGGGTTTGAAAGGACTGGACACACCCTCCACCAACTAATTGACAGTTAAGAGGGAATTTTCAGTGTCTTCAGAATCTTGCTCTCAGGCCTTGGCTCCCATTACAGGAGACAAGAAGTTGTATAATATGGGAAGATCAGCTCATAAGTCGCATTCTGCTTAAGTGGGTGGATTAAATGTGAGAAAAAAACAGATGTTCTGGGCAGTTGAACCAGAAGCCGAACGGCAGCCTTGGCCGATCATGTTCCATATGCAGGTTTTCTCAGGGGATGGAGACTTTGGTCTCCTTGGGTTTTGCAGTGTTTGCTGGGGGTTGGGGGTGGGGGCAGGGAAGAGTACTGTGAAGGTGACATTAAATGAATATGGGGGCTTTTTAATTGTCACATTTGTGTTTTCATGCCATGAGCCCTATTTTGCCTTTCTGTGCAACTGACAGTTGGTATGAAGGGCAGCTCCCCCAACAGCCTTTGAAAGACCCTTGTGACGGCTATTAAATCCAGCCTTGACTTGCCTGACCTTGCTTGATAAGAATTTAAGGGCAGAGCAATTGAAACTCCATCAAGGGTCAGAACTGTCCTCAGTCTGGGTTACTGGTCTGACCTGCTCCACAAGATTGAAGAGTAAACATGATGCCATCGCTATTATTTTTAGTCAGGCCCCCACCTGCTTGGTTATCATTAAGTCCAATAGCTTCCTCTTGAGGCTTCGCCTCCCTGCCCCCAATCACAGCTGTCTAAGAATCTTGGGACTTCTTGATCCGATGATGAATACCCCAGTGCCTGTTGCCTCTTGCAGCCACATGATGTCACTGTTAAAGATGGGTCCTACACATCTTAAGGTTTCAGGGACTTTTCCCATGTGACCTGCTCAGTTCATGTGAATTCTCCACACTGGGCACAAGATTACAGACTGTTGTAGGTCACACTCCCATGTACCACCGGTATTCTCCAATGACAGCTACTGGACCAGGCTGTGAAGAAATGGGTCCCTTTTAACCCTTATCGAGCCTTGCTCAGCAGCCTGGATTTCTGATGCCATGGGGCCCATTTTGATCTACATCTTGAAGAACAAATTGGATAATTGGTTTCTTCCTTTCTAGAAAGCCCCTGGTCCACCTCTCATCCAGCCAGTTCTGCATAACCCTAACTTAAGAGCATGCTTTTAAGAAACTTTCTATCTAAACAAAGGAGGACTACAGTGCCATAACAGTTCAGCACCTATGCCTGAACAGTCACCCCTTGAATTCCTGGGAACCCCGTAAAGGAGGCAAACCATGAATACAGATTGATCCCAGGTCTGTCCCCATATGTCAAAAAAGGAAGATGATTACACCTGCCTTATAAAAGCAATAGCACTTACTAAAGCCCATTGCAAAGTTCTTAATATATAGTAAGTGCTCAATACTGTTGATTATTATTATTATTATTATTAGTGATGGTGGTGGTGGTGCAGTTTGAATGCAGGGCATTGTGCAAGTAAGGCAAGCACTCTACCAACCAAGTTATATCCCCATAAGTGTTTGGACCAGGGGATGCAAAACGGAAGACTTTCCTTTCAGTTAACCCACTGAGTGTGTCTTTGGATCCCTGTGCAAGCCACGCCTTTTTCTGACACCACATTGAGGGTTACTTGTTACTTTCCATCCAAGCATTCAATCACCTGACTAGCTGAACTGAAAAAAGAAATCATTCCCATCTCCTCTCCTCCAGTGGATCCACATGACTTCCACTGATTTAGGCAATTAGCTCTGAAGACTGGTTAAAGACTAATTTTTCCACTTTTAGAAATATCAGTGGACACGAGGTGGGAGGGAAAGGGAGAGAAAAGGGAAATTGCATGGAAATGGAAGGAGACCCTCATTGTTATACAAAATTACATATAAGAGGCTGTGAGGGGAAAGGGGAAAAAAACAAGGAGAGAAATGAATTACAGTAGATGGGGTAGAGAGAGAAGATGGGAGGGGAGGGGAGGGGGGATAGTAGAGGATAGGAAAGGTAGCAGAATACAACAGTTACTAATATGGCATTATGTAAAAATGTGGATGTGTAACTGATGTGATTCTGCAATCTGTATTTGGGGTAAAAATGGGAGTTCATAACCCACTTGAATCTAATGTATGAAATATGATATGTCAAGAGCTTTGTAATGTTTTGAACAACCAATAAAAAAAAAAGAAAAGAAATATCAGTGGGGGATAGATCAGTGTTAGAAATAGAGTTGGGTCTTGAGGCTGGCCCTGTCTGCATATCAGCAAGTGCTGGAGGAACAGCCACTTGAGCAGTCTCTGGCTGCTCCACCTCTTCTACAAGCTGACTCTCAGCTGGAATGAAAACAAGAATATACACTCTTCCTTCTTTTTGCTCTTTGCCCAGAAGCTCTGGTTTCTTACACAGAGAAAACATGCATCCATGTAAATGGTTGGAATAAATATTTGGGGCATCTTGTTTTATGGGGTCTGCAGCAGGCATGACAGGTGCTGTGGGAAGGGTAGTGATCAGGTGGGCAGCAGGATGGAGGAAAGGGAGGAGGCTGAAACACTGAGGTCTGGTTCCCTTCCTACCTTCAGTTCTGACCTGCACTTTAATCTCACCGTTCAATCTCCACCTGGGACGATTATGAACAATGCTACTCTTGTTCTCCACAAGGGATGTCATGTCAGGATTCCTATCAACATTCATCAGACTGAGAAGATGAGATTAAGAGGTTGCCCCAGCTCAAATACCAATGTACACAGGATTTCCTAGTTCAATACAATGGAGAAGCTGTGATTCAGAAGCTGGAGCAACTTTTAAAGAATTTGGCCCCGTTCACATGAAGCAAGCATTTGTAATAGGAGAAAGCTGTCTAGAATCGGGAAATTGGGGAATTGGTTAAGTAAATTGTTCCATATCTCACAGAGGGTGTGATGAATATATTGAAATGTGATGAATATATTGAAAAATTAGTCTATTTTTACTGGCAGGAAGAAATGCTCATGAAATACTGTTAAGAAAAGAACATTGCAAAAACAAAAACAAAAAACTAGAGTATGATCCTATTTGGATTTTAAAACCTACATCTAAACATATGTATATATGAAGCCATATGCACAGAAGACCATTAAAAAAGGAATGTAACAGGGGTTAATCCAATAAATTAGATTTGTAAATTTGAGGAGCATATTTTCTTTGTTTTTGTTTTTTGCTTTGTTATTTTATTTACTTTACTTGCCTGGCTTTTCTATATATGATAAGAGCCTGTTTTATTGAGCAGCCACTAAGCATCAGGCAAATGGTCTTCTATTTATTTCTAAAAGTAAAGCATTTAAAGACGAGGGAACTCAGAGAGGTTGGGCATCTTACTCAGCATTAATTGAGAATCTATCTGATTCAGCATGCCTTCATACCCAACTCTGTCTTCTTCCTGCTACCCACCTGCTCCCTGATGTTTAAGTCTCCCTGGGGGACTCGCAACATGGCCAACATTGAGAACCATGCCTTAGAACCTCTCCTACCTTACCTCTTCTTCTTTCCACAGTCCAAGGAGCCAAAGATGGCTTGGAGACAATCATTATCTCTTTTATCTCTTTTTGGTCAGCCCCAACCTACGTGAAGCAATGTGAATTAAGGTATTCAGGGTTCTCAATGGCCCACTGGGAAATGAATCCTCCATGAGGCCCAAGCTATTCTGACTCTCACTTCCCTTTTTATTCAGTATGGAATTGTGCTGGATGCCGGATCTTCTAGAACCACTGTCTACGTGTATCAGTGGCCCGCAGAGAAGGAGAATAATACTGGAGTGGTCAGTCAAACCTTCAAATGTAGTGTGAAAGGTAAGGACTTAAGTGTGGCCAGGAGGCCCAGGGAGCATCAAGGTTAAGTCCTACGTCTTTTGGAGACCTTGAGTCAGGCAAGTGAGCCCTGGAGTGGGAATCGGAAAAATACAAATTCCTCTGCTCAAGCTGCTGCTCATCTTGGGGGGATCACCTAAATCCTATCTGTTTTCCTCTCTGGGCCTTGGTTTCTTTCATCCATAAACATGGGGAATTGTCAAGGACTGTGAATAGTCTGAGACTTTACCCCACCCTACTTTTATAGTTGCTGGTAAAAGACACAAGACTCCTGGCTCAGAAACAAAAGATAGTTTGTTACAGTCATAGCACTGGCCAGAGTGTCAGCATTTCCTTGCAGTGGTTCTCCAGTTTACACTGAATAACATAAAGACAGCCAGATAGTGGGTTGTATCACAGAACAAAAACCCTGAGATTAGGAAACCTGTACCATTTATAATGGCTGGCAAGCCTGCCTGCCCTTTATTCTGGAAGGAAACACTGCCTTTCTGTTCCAATGCTGTTTGCTGAGAAGATCGTTCAGAACAAGGGAAGTCAGCACTTGTGCTCATAAGACATGCTGAAACATAAGAAATACATAGGAAATTTTCCAAACAGGGGGAGGTGGTATCTGGTTATGGGAGGAAGTGGGTTTGGAGGGACATAGACGATTCATAAACAGAGATGACTCTATTCCAGTAAAGCTTTATAGATGAAAAAGAGATTTTGAATTTCATATAATTCTCTAATTCTCACACGTCACCAAACTTTGTTTTCTTTTCATTTCCTCACCAACCATTGAAAAATTAAAAAAAAAATAAAAACTGTCTCAGTTCTCTGAGGTAGGGACTGGATTTCTCCCATAGGCTGTCATCCTCTGAAATGGAATATTGTCAGAACTTTAATTACTTTCCATTTAAGTCTCTGCCTCCTCCCCAACAAAACATGTCCTGAATTTTATGTTAACTATTCACTTATTATTCTTTCTTTCTTTCTCCTCCCTCCTCTCCCTCATCCTCCTCCTTCATAACTGAACTATATTCCCAGCCCTTTTTATTGTTTTTATTTTGAGACAAAATCTCACTTGGTTGCTTAGGGCCTTGCAAAGTTTCTGAGGCTGACCTCCTGCCTCAGCCTCCTGAGTTGCTAGAATTACAGGCTCACACCACCATGCCTGGCTCTTTCTTCTTTTTATCTTAATTTTAATTATACCTATTTATGGGGTACAGTGTAATAACTTGATATATGTACACAATGTATAATAATCAAATCAGGGTAATTGGCATTTCCATCTCTCTAAATATTTCTTAGTTTTTTTTATAATGATTGTACATATTTCTGGGGCACAGTGTGATATTTCAATACATGTATACCTGTATTTCAGTACTTGCCCTGATCAAATTAGGCTAATTAATGTTTCCATCTCTTTGTCATTGTTTTATGTTTGGAGTGTGATTCAAACTTCTCTCATCTAGTTATTCATAAAATATGTAACAGTTCATTGTGAACTGCAATCATCCCACTATGCTGCAGAACACTAGGATTCATTCCTGTTTCTGTGTTTTTGAACCTATTATCCAGCCTCCCACTTTCTTCCCTTCACCATCCTTCTCAGCCTCGAGTAATCACTGTTTTATATTCATACTATGCTTTTAGCTCCTCCATCTGAGAGAGAACATGAGGTACTTGTCTTTCTGTGTCTGATGTATTTATCTTACATAATGACCTCCAGTTCCATCCATTTTGTTGCCAATGATATATAATTCCATTCCTTTTATGGCAAAGTAATACTCCATTGTGTGTGTGTGTGTGTGTGTGTGTGTGTATATATATATATATATATATATATATATATATATATATATATATATCTTGTTTTCTTTATCCATTCATCCACTGATGAGGATATAAGAGAAAAGGAAATTCTTCTCCACTGTTGGTGAGAATGTGAACCAGTATAATCATCATGGAGCACAGTATGGAGGGTCCTCAAAAAACTAAAAATAGATCTATCCATATGATCTGGTTATTTGACTTCTGGATATAATCAAAGGAAATGAGATCATTATATCAAACAGATATCTGCACTCCCGTGTTTATTGTAGCACTATTCACAATAGCTAAGATATGAAATCTTCCTTGTTCTTCTTTATAGTTTTGTCTTAGATTTTTAGTTTTTACTGATTTTAGGGGAAAAAATAAAATTTGTATGCACATGATCAAACATTTTCCTATAATTTGCTTTATTCACTAACATTGGGTTAATGTAGAAACTCAATGTTAAGGTTTGTGAATGGTGATACTAATAGCCTTTGGCTTATTTACTTTTCCCTTTTAATGGACATTTGTATTTCCATGGTTGCTAATAAGGTCATGTATTTTTTCATGTATTTATGGCCTTTTCTGTTTTCTGTGAAATGCCTGTGCATGTCCTTTGGTTATTTTTCTACTGAATTGCTTGACTTTTCTTATTCATCAGAATTTTTAAGACATTCTGAATACGAATGCTTTGTGAGTATTATTATAGATTGTTGCTAATATCTTCTTACAGACCATAGTTTGTCTTTCTTTTTTAGTTTCTTCACCTATCTCGATGAATAGACGTTCTCAATTTTTATGTCAGTATAGTGATCACTCTTCTCCTCTATTCTTTGTTCTTTTGTACATTTTGAGAACTCCTTCCCTGTCATAAGGTCAGAAAGATATTGTTCTATCAAAGTTTTGCAATTTTTCCTTTAACAATTAAGTCTTTAGTCCACACAATCAAGCCCAGTCAGTATGTGTGTGTGCATGTCTTTTTTTTTTTTTTTTTTTTAAGCCGTTCTCTTTCCCTCTAAAGCATTATGATCTTTGAATTGGCCTGGAGTTTCCCAGCTAGTGAGTCCTGAATGGGCTACAAGTACACTCTCAGTTCAAGGCTACAAGTCAGAGACACCAGGCCTATCCTCCCAGCCCCGGGCAGCCTCCATCATTTCTTTCAGCGAGCTGCCCATATACTTTAACTTCTTGGAGATGATTTGTCTTTCCCTTAGGGAGACGAAGGAGGATCTTATTTGGAAAATCAGGGTAAGCTGTGATTGTCTGCCCTCCCAGGAAGATGGCCAGGAGCTCGCCTCTCCTGGGGCACAGATATTGTAGGTTAGGTTTCCCAGAAACAGAGGTCAAGAGAGAGTTTGGGATGTAAGGTACTTTATGGAGATCCTAATAACTGAGAGTGTTCTGGTGGCAGGAAGAGGGCAGAAGAATTAGATGAAAGAAGTCAAACTTCAGAGAATGCCTGATAAAGCTCCAGCCGATCAGTTATCCTGCAGTGGGTTGAAATGCCGGGAATGGCTGGGCTGCAGGACCCATCACCATTGTCGCTAGGTGTTTTTAGCCCTGGGAAGAACAAGATCTTGAGTGAGACAGCTCCCTGCAGCTGAGGCAAACTCTGAAGGAGCTGAAAGGTGGGACAATAAGTCTTTGTTTGAAGGGGCATCTCCATGGCCCGTTTGGGGGTTCTTGGATGTTTTCTGAGTATTGCTTATAATGTTTTCCACAAACACAGGCAAGCAGTTTCCTTGCTCTGATCTCAGCCAGTGATCCTGTATTCACTTAGTTCAGCTTACTTCTGAGCCATTTCTTCACCTCTAAGCATGAGAGGGGATCAGGTTGCTCCTTTAGAAAAGAGAGGATAGTGAAGGACCATGATGGAGACTTCGCCTCGTCCCTATTGTATGAGCTCTGGAATGCTGCTGAATCTCTTTGAGCCTTGACCTTCTCATTTCTGAGATGAGAAAAAAATAGTGAGAGCAATACCTACTCCCATAGAATGAGTTGAAGATTACACTGCACAATATATATAAGGGAGAAAGCAAATGCCTGCAATAAGCACTCAATAAGTGCTAACTGTTTATTCATGGAGTTCCATACTCCACAGCTCCTGGTGGATCCTCTTGGGTATAGTTGTTCTGTCCTGTAGTCACAGAATTTCTGTCTTTAAACCTGAGAGAGCATTCAGCAGAGTAATTCCTCACGGTCCTCTAACTGTAGGGAAAGTTAGGACTTTCCTAGAGAAGGGGTCCTTGGCCCACCCTGGATGCCATACTTGATTTAGAAAAAGTTCTTAGCCCACCCTGAATGCCAGCCATGCCAACCATGACATGGTTATGGAGCCCACAGCACATCCAGAAATGGATCTTGTCTTCTTTGATCACAGTAGCCTCAGGGATCCATATATATACTCCCGGGGACCAGAAGGTCACAAACTAAAGCTTAAATTAAAGAGCTGAAGTTTGGCAAGTGTTATGTTCTCTAGGGCATGTGGCTTCTCCAAGGATAATTTAGGTTTCTGGTTTCTAAGTTGCAAACTTCCCAAGACTCCCCTGCCCTGGCCAGTCTGAAGAGGGTTGGTGAATATTTGCTCCCAGCACTGATTACCAGGTGTCCAGGCCCTTTGGGGGTCCCTGGTGGGTATCAGTCCTCAGTCCTCAGTTACTGAGTTCATTGGGCACTGTCTAGGCTGGTGATCCTTGTGATGCTATCTGTAGCTCTGCCTGCTTTTTTTTATTTTTTTCCTTTGAGAGAGATTCTCACTAAGTTGCTCAAGGTCTCACTAAGTTCCTGAGGCTGACTTTGAACTTGTGAGCCTCCTGCCTCAGCCTCCTGAGCCTCTGGGATTACTGTGCCCAGCAGTGAGGTTACTTTTTAAGAATTATGACTAGGTTAAGATTCCTTATGTCAGCCAGGAGCGGCGGCACATGCCTGTAATCCAGCAACTAAGGAGACTGAGGCAAGATGATCCAAGTTTGAAGTCAGTCTCAGCAACTTAGCAAGACCCTGCTTCAAAATAAAATAAAAAGGGCTTGGGGACTGGGGTTGTGGCTCAGTGGTAGAGTGCTTGCCTAGCATGTGTAAGGCACTGGATTCCATTCTCAGCACCACATATAAATAAATAAAATAAAAGTCCATTAAAAGCTAAAAAAAAAAAAAGGTGGAGAGGTGGCTGGGGATCTAGCTCAGTA